TGAGCTGAAAGGTCTGTAAACGCTTGCTGCATACCTGCTAAAAGCCATTTAAAAAGAAGAAGCATTTTGTTTTTGCATTCTCAAACAGATCTGAGTGCTGGTGGCTCTCCTTTTCTTTTAGGTTTTAAGGGCTTTATCTAAGTGTTAACAGGTAGACGTGCACGTGCAGTGGTGGAATTTCCAACTCATTATCATTGTAGTATATACAGTGGGGGAAATAAGTATTTGACCCCTTGCTGATTTTGCAGGTTTGCCCACTTACAAAGAATGCTTATTTTTCCTCATCAGATGGTTATCAATTTTTATAAATTCATATGATGTGATTTTCTGGAATTTTCTTTGGTATTCTGTCTTTCAATGTTAGAATGTACATATGATTAAAGTTATAGATCGTTGCATTCTTTGTAAGTGGGCAAACCTGCAAAATCAGCAAGGGCTCAAATACTTATTTCCCCCACTGTAGTATCTATGACAACAACTCTTTTTAAAACGACGTTTTGATGCCATCAGGGTATCGGATCCACCAGGAATTGTGTCACCTGTGTCTTCCTGAAGGAAAAAATGACTGACATTAGCTTCTTTTTTAACTCTCCGTGCATATTTTTTTTAAAGAAAGAAGAAAGAAGAAGAAACGAAACCTACTTTAGTCCCTGCCACAATGTGAACTTTCTGTAAAGTTGCTGAAACTCAGCTAAAAGCCTGTTCTCATATCCAATTCACCACCAAAAAGACTCGCTCATCAAAACCCGCCTCGGCTTTCTCCTCTGGGTAAAAGTTAACAATTTTGTTCGTCCTGCCTTCTTCCTTTTATTTGTAATAACCCGGGGAGGCTTCAGCACCTGATTCCCCTTTTCCTTCGAAACTCTTCTCCTTTTTCTGAGAGCTCGTCCTCTTTTTTATTCGGCTGCACGTTCCTTCATTTACATAAAATAAAAAGACTGTGAGCAGGCTGTAAATCCTGTTTTAAGAACAAAAGCATCTGTGATTACGTAGATACCCGGAGATAAAATCCGTACAGGTTTTTTTTGGTTTTCTGGGAACGAGGCTTTTCTGGTATATATGTGGAGAGTTGGGTAGGTTTCCAGTAAGTTTCACAGTTAAAAAGTGGATTGTTGTATATTGGGGGAGATTACTACTGAGCAAAGAGTGTAAACTTAACCGACAGATGTACAACCTTTTCTATCATGTTTAAAACAGGTGAATACATTTAACCATCGCTTCAGCAGGTCAAACAAATCAATCAATCAATCAATCAAACAATCAATCAATCAATCAATCAATCAATCAATCAAATACATCACTGTGGTCTGTCCTACATCTGTACCTCACAGACTGTTAATAATGTAAACTGGTTGAAACTAACTGTTGAACGGACCCTAAAAGACCTTTACAGTCAAAATTGGCTAATTGAAATTATGCAAATGACATCTTGTGATATTTATGCAGAAATTAAGCAAGAATATAAATTTGAAAATTACTTAGTTATGTGAAAACCTTGGATCTTTAACCTTAGAACAAACAACACTAGAACCCCTAAAGTCACTGGTCGGTATAAAGGTTTAGAGAGAAAGTTAAGATTATGTCAACTCTGTCCAGATAACTGTGTTGGAGATGAGTATCATGTTTTGTTTGAGTGTAAAAATGTAGAAATATGCCGTTACAGTATTATGTGAAGAGCCCATCGATGTTTAAAA